ATATTGAAAGGAAGATAAAGTTGATGTGTGGTGTCAAAAGTGACCTGAAGCCAATATGGGAGAAACAAAGCAGTCTTCCTTGATTTAAAAATAAAAACTAAATCGGTGTATGGTCTCCCTCTTGCTTCATGTGGAAAAGAGAAGATCGTTTGAGAAGGGTGACAGATGAAGATAGCTTTTAAAATGAGATGTTGCAGACGGATACTTGTAGTCAGCTGATGAGAACATGTAAAAAAAAAAATGAAAATCGGAAAAAATATCAGTGCAAGAGAGTCGTTAATGGAACAATGAGAAGAATGCTTTAACTCTTCATCTGCTATATGAAGGGTGACCACTGGTTAAAACTGCTTTTTGACCTGGTAAAGGGGAACAGACCAGACTGGATGACAAAACTTAGGGCTGTCGCAACTGGCAGCCCATAGGCTGCATGTGGCCCATGATGGGTTAAATTGTTGCTCTCGGGCTCCTGTCCAGCTTCCCCTCCTCACCATTCCTCCAGCTGCAGGTTCCCTCTCCCTTCAGTTTCCCTTTCCTGCCCCTACCCTTGCCTTAAGGGACAGGGCAGTGCAGCACAGCACAGCCCAGCCTTCAGTGCCAAGGGAGCCTGCAACCAGGAGTGACTAAGTGGTGCTGTACAACAGGAAGATTCAGGGAGCAGCAGCAGGGCGTGCCTGGGCACGTGGTGTAGTGAGAGGGGGAGGAGAGATGGTGGAACAGGGAGGTGCGATGCAGCTGTGGGTGGTTCCTGGGTGCACAGTGCAATGCGAAGGGTGTAGAGCAGTGGGGGGAGGTGCAGCCCCTGAGACCTATGAACCCTGCTGGTAGGACCCGAACAGCGCCTAGACTCCTGGAAGCCCTGGTTGAACTTTTAGTGTCGGGCTCCCCTTTGCCAGAGATAGTGATGATAATAATTTTAAAATTACCATTTTTGGGCCCCGTTTCTGTCCAGGCCCTAGGCAGCCTACTGGTTCGCCCATGCCTGTGTCTGGCTGAGGGGCATGTGGCCCCCAGACACTTGCATGTTGGACAGCCCTGACATATCTAATCTGGTGCACTAGATATTTAGAGACAGTGTGCTGAAGCAAAAGACTGAGCACAGCGAAGAGTTGGACTGCAGGGCATGGCTGTTCCCTGTGGTTATAAGGCTCAGGAGACAGAGGAACAAAGGATTTTCTTTGATATTTTAATTTTATGCAGATATTTTGTCTTAATTTGTTCCTTTGTCCTTTTTCACATTTTTGTGGTAGGACCCTTGGAGCAAATTGATGGAGCACGCACCTGCCCTCTTAAAACCAAAGCTCAGGGGTGTCAAACATATGGCCCACAGACTGGATACAGCCCACAGAGTGGCTCTGTCTGACCCACTGGGCTACTGACAGGCTACTGACAGGTTGTTGTGGGGCATGGCCTGCCTTGGAATTCAGGGCCCTTTGACCTTGTTGGTCACAACCATCAGCAGCAAGCTTTGCTTGCCACCGCCACCTTCAGACAGTTGCTCCTCACTTAAACCCTATCCTTTGGATCCACTGCTACTGATGGACCACTTGCTGCTTCTGGACCAACTGTTTCCTCTGGGTTTTTCGTTGCTCCCGCAAGGCCTATTGCTTGATCCGCCATTACAGTGGCCATAGCAGCTGCCCATGAGCAGGCCATAGGCTTGATCTTGCCCACAAGGAGTTGTGCAGTCTGGATCTTGCCAAGGGCTCCAGATAGGTTTGACGCCCCTGATTTAGAGGGTAGTGAGTCCCTAATAAAATTTCCTTTCTTAAATAAATTTAGCAGGTTTTGGTTACTTTTCACCATCTTCCCTGGAACTTGGGTGGTTTTATTTGTGTATTAATTACTGTATTACAGTTTGTCTTGTATCTTGGCTTTTCTTAGGGGAAAGCAGTACTTCATTTCTTTGAACCTGTTTAGATAGACATTGACCTTTCAGCTTTTAGTTTATAGTTGTGTATAGTGACAGTGATCAGATTATTTTATGTCATTGTATTAGAACAAGATAAGAGTTTCCATTCTCACTTCCATGTGAGGACCAGTCTGAATTTACTGTTTTCAGTTTTGCATGTACAGAAACCTGACCAAGTCACTTCTGTTCAAACCTTTTCTAATATTAATTAATTTGGGTTTGCAGGGTTCATCTGAGGTTGGGCAATATTGCTCTTGAACAGATGAGAAAATAAACAGTAGAGGGGACTTGCCAGTCCATAGTCAGACTAGAGATAGAGTACTGGATTAGGGAAGACTGTACTTTGGTCTTAATTAAAAAAAACTCTTGTCCTTTTGCTGTCAGAATCATTCCTCACAAGTCAATAAGAATGTGAATATCTACAGGTGAATTTAAGAGCAATTTTCAAACTCTTTAAAAGCAACTATATTTAACATAGTTACAAAACTCTCTATCTCCTGATAATTTGAATTTCTCCTCTTGGACAGAATTAATTGAAATTGAAGGATTTGAGCTGACACTAGTACCATGTGTTACCTAGTAAAACTGCTCCAGTATTAAGTTTGCTTTATCTAAAGGTACAGTTGAGGAGATCTGGCTTGCTTGTGTCACTTACACAGGTTCCTGCACACTTAGCACTTAGGGTATGTACAGACATTTGAGGAGAATAAGGGGAGGTTAAATCAAGTTAAAAATGGCCACTTGATCTAAGGTAAATCAGAATGGAGGGGGTAATGGGGTCATCGGGGGGGCAGATGAAGTCTGTGGGTGGGATTGAAAGCCAGTCAACTTTACCCACCAATGAACAACCCTTCTGCCCCATCCTGCCCTCTCCCCACCCTGACTTGCTTCCTGAGCTCCTGGTACTGGGGAACATGGGTAAAAACAGCACAGGGAACTTGAAGAATGGGGGACTTAGGGGGTTTGGGAGGGGTTGTCTGGGGGTGGAAGGAGGTGCTGGGGGGCCAAAGATACCCTGGTGCCAGGTTGGGGCAGGGGTAGGAAAAGCATAGCCCTGGGGCTGCAGCCAGTGGCTGGGCTTTCCCAGCCCTGGGGTTGTTTTGGTAAGTGTATAAAAGTTTGGTTACACCAGGTCTGCCATTTTTAGATGCATCTTACTGTCCTGAACTTCTGTGGAGTTTATACTTAGATTGACCTAACTAGGGATCTAAGTTTAAAGTCTGCACTTGGGTGCACCCAGGTTGGATTAGGCGGCCATTTTTAAGGCAATCTTAACCTCACTGAATGTCTTAATTTACCCTTAGGGTGTGTCCCAACAAGCAGAATGCATATTTGTGCCACTGCTATTTGTCCCCAGGCATGCCCCTGCATGTGTGCTTTGGCGTGTGGGAAATTGCCCCCAGTGGGGTAGGGGAGGCTGGAGACAGCACCTGTGCTGGCCCCAGCAGCCTTACGTTGGTGCCTTCTGGGGCAGTGGTAGTGTTGAGCTGGCTGCTTGGAGCCTGGCCAGTAGCCAGAGCATTACTCTGGTTGGCCAGGCTCCTTTTCTGGTGGTGCATACTGCTGCCACATGCACCACAACACTTTTTTTAGTGGCATTTTTTTTTTACGCCAGGATCTCCTAGTGTAGCAGTGTGACAAACAGGTGCATGTGCACCTCGTGTAGTTTGCAGCGCCTCAAATGGGTTTGAGTTGCTGCAAACTGCACTGACGAGCTCATCAAGATGCACCCTTAGAGTCTTTAGCAGCTGCTGTGCCATCCTGACTGGCACCTCCCTCTCCTGTTTTTTAACTGCTCCAAGTGAATCCATTCCTTGAAATTTAGGGCCTAAATCATCTATTATCATTGTAAAACCATCAACATTTATTGCAACAAATACCTAATAAGTCCAAGTCCTTATTCTTATAACTAATATCACATTTACTCAGTTACTGTTTTGCTTATCTAGTTCTTTAATGCAGTTTGTGTTTAAAAATAGATGTTTATTTCTAGATGCTGCCTTCTGTATTATATTATATGGCAGTGTATGGAAATTAGGCAGTAATTTATCTGCTTGATCTTTGGATAGTACTTAAGCCTTCTGAATTGAGTACATAAATCTCAATTTCAGTAAAGAAAAAGGGTTCTTCTAGTTCTAGACTAATTTTAAGCCTTAGAAGACTTTTATCTGGAATTTCCTTATAGCATTTTTAAAGCTGCCTTATTTTTGTCTGATGTTTATGATGGGTGTGTTTTTACTTGTATCTTACCAGTTTTCAGATACCTTAATAACTTTAGGTGAAGTTTTGTATAGTTGTATTTTTAGTCTTTCTGTTTATTCATATTGAATATGAATGTTATAACTTTTAGAATGCTCTTTTTAGTGTAGAAATATATTGTAAAATCTTACAAATTTTCTAGAACTGTCTCTACTTAAAGGAATATAGGGCAATTTTAAACCAAGCCTTCTTTAATTGGACACTTAAATCTAGACCTGTATAAGACTATTTCAGAAGTGGCCCTTGCTAACCACAGTTGGACTTAATTTTTCACACTACTAAACTTAATGTCATTTATTAAAAAAACCAACAACACAGGGAAAGTTAACTGTTTGTTGCATCCCCGTTACAAGTCATCTGTACTACTTCTCCCCTCATTTGTAAGCTAACTTTGTTTGTTCTTGTTTCTCATTAAGTCATTTAGTAAAATGGTTTAATACTACCAGCATTTAATTCACATGCATTTTCTTTAATGGTTTCTTTTTGTAAATGTAACATATTTGGTTTTTCATGGGGACTTGAAAGTGCTGGATTTATTTTTCTCTTACGGCAGATTATCAAGCAGTTCTACAAAAGAACGAACAAGTTTTTAATAACATTCTTTGATTTGGTGGATTAAAACTGCTTGCATGCAACTTAGATTCAGTTTAAGCCTTTTTTATTTTAAATTTCCAGAAGAACAATATATTAAAAGTACAAAAAAATCAATATATTCTTTAAGGAAGTCCCATCAGTAATCATTTTTGTTTAATTAGCAAACTGGATTTATAGACTGCTGTGAAGTCAAGCGGTAGCAATCAAATGAACCTTTGCTGCTGACATTAATTTACAGGGGTCAACAGGACAAAACTTCACGACATGATAGCTGATCTGGGCGATGATGAGCTACCCCACATCCCTTCAGGAATCATTAATCAATCTAGGTCACCCTCTTCTAGAATGACTGATCATGAAGGTGCAAGAGCAGAGGAAGGTACAAAAATTACTATCCCCTCTTAAAAAAAAAAAAAAAAAAAAAA